AACGAACTCCACGAAGCGAAAGGAAGATCTAATGGATATTAATTAAACTATAAATATATCAATTCATGTGAATATGACTGAAAAAAAATTCATTTTTTTCTGAAAAGGTGGTGTCTATTTACTTGTGACCACACTGTGTATATATTTATAACAGTGTATCCAGCCTTATTGTTATTGAATATAATTTTATAATCCGCTACAGAAAAAACGAGTATGAATGTTTTACTGTAACCTGAACAATAGTAATGAATGCAGTATTGAGTATGTCATAGGGTAGTTTGATAATTAATTCAAACGCATTCGTGTTTTCCCCCTGAAAAATTTCTCTAAGTCCTTCACTTTCAGCCATTAAAAAAAATCAGGTGTTTTACTACTGCGCATTAACTGGAAAATAATTTGTACAACTTATAGTGCATTAACTGGAATCTACCACGTTGAGGATTCACCATTTCTCGAGTTCGCTGCTCTTCATTGTTTCTTTAGTTCTTTCGCTGTTGTACTTTGTCTCTACGTGGTTTTCTGCGACTATTTCAGTGAGTTTTCTAACAGTAGACGATTAGCATAGTAGATTTCTCTACTCTTGTGGGTGGTGATTTATTCTACTGATTTTCGTACTTCGATTGTTAAACGCGTGTTTACACAAAACCACCTGACTTAGTAAATAATAGTTAAGTGGGAAAAAAGCCAATACAGTAGTAAACTGTTTAAAAACATGTAGCATTCAACTGAATGCATATACATGTACGTAGCTTAAAATTGATTCTCCATAAATGGACATAAAAGAACTTAAGAAATAAGATAATTAAAAATTGTTATTTTAAGAAGGGGGAACAGGAATCGTCAAAAGTATAGAAACAAGTTGAATCAAAATGCAAAGATTATATTTTCAAGCCTACAATTAGAGACTCTAAAAAAGTAAAGAAACTAGGCTAGAAATAGTATCTAACTTATTTTGTTTAGCTACAAATCTCTATTTTGACTCCACTTAAATCGATAAGTACTGTACATATGGAGTCAAATAGAAAATAATAAAATCTTAGGTGCTACGAAATACATTTAACTGAAAAAACTGGAATATATAAAACAGAATGAGAATGTGGAAGTATATACATTGGTCAGACGAAACGTAATTTAAAATACCGCTTAAATAAGGGATATGTAAAAAATAAAAAACTGAAAATTCATCCATAGCAGAACATGTACAAGAAACACAACACACAATATTATGGGAAAAAACTGTAATATTAGCTCAACCAAAACGTATAATAGGTAATAATATTCGTGAATCGTTAGATATAATAAAACATAAAAACGATCTTGTAGTATTAAATACAGATGAAGGTATGGCGAATATTTCTGCAAGAATGTGGATTGATCTCCCTTGAATGGTTTAGCATGAATGTATGAAAAAATAACATACAGGTCAATGACCTACTAACAAGTTATAAGTACTTTGGCAATTGTCTTGTAATTCACTCCTGAGGATGATGATGTAACGTCAAAACATGTAG